AGCAGCGGCCTGCCCTTGGTGGCGGTGGCAAGAGGAGGAAGGCGTGAGGCACCCCGGCACACGGTGGGACAGAGCAGCTGCAAGCCCTGCGGGGCCGGACTCAGCTCAGGACCTGCATCGCCAGTTTAGGGGTGGCAAAGGACTGACAGTGCCAGCCTCCTGCCCCACGCCTGGCGCCTGTTTGTCAATAAATGCGCTCTGTTTTTTTATAAAATCTGCATCTGGTTCTTCGATGGCAGTTGGGGAGGGCAGTGTGCCTTGCCTCTGCTAAGGAGAATTGCTGGTGTGTTGTGAGAGTCAGGTTCCCCTGTTCCCCTAGGCCAGGGGCTTTCCTGGGGGCAGCCACATAGCTCCACAGCTGGCCGTGTTTGCAGCATTTGAGACAGGCCCCAGTCCCTGTGCAGTCAGGTTGCTTCATTCTCACCTAAGATTGTGGTGTGAGCCTCAATGCAGGGGTGGTAACTCACATTTTAAGTGCTGGTGCCATCCAAGGCAAACACCATTAAAAAATGAGGCCACTGCCTTGTGCTCTGGGCTGCCCCAGCTGTGGAGCTCCTGTGCTGCAGGTCACCTTCTGCTGCTTATTTCAGTGGCGTTTGGGCTTGCTGGCGAGAGGAGGAGTGCAAAAACTCCTAGTGGAAGATTTATTGCAGAGCCTGAAAGATTGCAAAGATTTTATAAAGCTATGTTACCGTTAAAAAGACAGAAAGCTGTTGACCTACCATTGAATTCACAGAATCCCAAATGGTTGAGGTTGGAAGGGACCTCTAGGATCATCTAGTCCAACCCCCCTGCTCCAGCAGGGACACCCAGAGCACGTGGCACAGGGCGACATCCAGGCGGGTTTGGAAGATCTCCAGAGAAGGAAACTCCACAACCTCTCTGGGCAGCCTGTTCCAGGGCTCTGTCACCCTCACAGCAAATACGTTCTTCCTCACACGGAAGAATATTCATATTCAACAGAATATCAACAAATTCTCATAGTCAACAGAAGATCAAGCAATAGAAGAAAAACTTTCCAAATTTTATCTGTACTCCCTGCTGGTAGTAAATCATTTTTATAAAAATAGTGTTTTTTCTTTACCAAAGTATTGGAAAGCAGGATAGAATCCAATGCTTTTTCTATAACTGTTTTGAAATTGCAGTGTTTCCTGTACCCTGGAAATGAAGTTTGTGTCCTACTATGTGACTTACAGTGAGGAGGAGGGCAGCCTCCTGCTCTGAAGTCAGTTCCCACTGTGAAGATGGTAAAACGAGTTCTTAATCTTTGAGTAAACTTGTAACTGGTAATAGTAGCATAGCACTGTTACAAATGTGTTCCTGGAAGAGGCAAATACTTCTAAAGCAATTCATATTTTATCTCCTTGTAAAAGCAGGCGCCGATGGCAGCTTGAATGCAGTCAAAAAGCTGAAGCTCCATCTGTGGACAACTGGCCTGGGTCAGGAGTGAGCAGGTTTGTGCTGAAGGAATCTGAGTGGCATTAGCAGATTGAGGATAATGCTAAATTTCTATCACCTTTACTTAAAGTATGTGCTCTTAGTCTTCTAAATCTTTCTTGCCTCTGTGTTGAGTAGTTTCTACCACTGTTGGCTACTTCTCTCTGGCCACTGGCAGCAATGTCCATGTGGACGTGATCCTGAAAGCACCAAGGCAGCAGAGGCAAGCAAATGTGCTTGGAAATGTGAAAGTAAGTTGTTCTGAAATGGTTTCCAGACCTCCAGTTTTCCTGATGTTTCCAGAGGACATGTCTTGTTACCTGCTCAACTAGGAAACACTGCTTATTTTTTTACAGAGAAGCATCTCATACTGCTGACCCAGATTTTACTGGTGACCTTCCCAAAGCTAAGAACTTGTCTGCAAAAATGCTGTCAGTTTGTGGATTTTCAGGAGTGATTATACAATTGGTAGGGACAGATATAACCTGCTTCACAGGTACTCCTGGTTTCTGAAATTCTTAAGTAATTTCAGACCTCAAAACCTGAAGAGGTGAAGCTTTTTAGATTGTTCATAATCATCCAGTTCACCTCGTCAGCACTGGGAGCCGAGCTGTGCTTGGGATTGGGGCACAGAAGGAGGTGCTAGGCAGTTAAGCAGATAGTTTTCACGGACTCTCTGGCTTGCCCGGGGTGTTCCACGCGATTTTACAGTGCACCCGGTCCAGCGTTGCTCCTCTCCGAGCGGGTGTCGGTTGGATTTCACAGGCCGAGTTCTCATTTCGGGAGCCCCAGTCGGCCCCACTCACGAGCAGCTTTTGGCTGCA